GGGGGGGGGGGGATGAAATTGTTGTTCGTTGTATTTCAAATTTTGTAAAATCACTTTTTAAAATTTTTGATTTAAACCATGTAATGTATAATAAAACAGTAAAAATCAAGAGTTACACAAAAACAATCTTACATGAAAGAGTTATACATAACTGTTTGTTTAAGGAATATAAATACTAACCTGGTTGCAGAACATGAACTGTTATTGAATTTTATGTAGATTAAGGTTAGTATTTGACATTATATTCTTAAGACATATTTTGCCTCCACACACGGTGCTTATGGAATATTGAACGACTGCCTTACAAAATACAATGATTTTTACACGAGTAGAAGTAGCAGTTCAATCTATTTGTCCAGCGAATTAAAAATTATGTTGTGCACTCTCTAAAATGCATATTGCCTTAATGCTGAAATGTAATGCAATAATGTCTGTCTTATTGGACTAATGAATGAATGAATTATTGAATGATAATAAGTCTGGGTATTTATAGACACTTTGGTGACTTTTCGGACAGTCACCATACTAAAAGAATAGTAGAAGACAAATACAAGTTAAGAGATACCACTTGTTGTAATTGTTCTCAATAAATAGACACAACTCAATTTGGACTAGAGAGAAGCAACAAATCTGAACCAGTGTGATCCAACGGGTATCGAAAATTAAATTTTGGGTTAAGAAATTCACGTTCAATTAACTAAACGAATTTTCTCTAAAAAGATAGGGTTTGGTCTAAACAACACCCGAGCCCGAGCTCAGCCTGGCTAGGCCGGGTTGTGGCGAGGCGGCGCGCGTGTCTGGTCGAATTGAAGGCATGTAGGTGCTCGCTCCGCTCATAAAATTGTGGTATCCTTTGGGCCCAATTTCATAGATCAAACTTGATTTATATATACCCATATTGAATTTCTTCCTCAGCCAGTATGAGATTGATGTCAAATTTCACATTACACAACCTCTATTTTCACATTTCAAAAGGGTCACTGTAGAGTCTATTTTTTTATTAATTTCTTATTCAATTTGAGCAAGTAAATATATTACATTATTTTCCTCATAGATTAGAATATGAACCCACGAAAATTTATTTACAATAACGAATAGGTCCCATTTTAATTTATACTTAAAGTCGATCAAAAATTTAATTTTTACACTTAAAAAATTTATTTTGATCCAACAGAAATGATATTAGAACTCGTACCTAGTTATAAGAGAGTGAGTTCTTACCATTGGATCACCCTCTCAACTCTCTCTTAATGTAGCCTGGTACCCAAGAAAAAAGTACAATATTAGAATTTTATTGCAAAATTAGATGATTTTACAGAGGATATCTGATGATTTTTTATATATTGACTCTATTCATATAAATAAGAAAACAATATTTAATCATATATATATATATTTATTTATTTATTTATTCATATTTTCAATATAATAAAATCTTGGATTTCCCTAATCACATCTTAAATCACTCCAATTCATATTCTCTTAAAAAATAGTGACCTATATTTTTTCTTTCTAATTATGCCTAATAATAGGAGAGCCCTCAAAGTTTTAAACGTAACTGCACCTTTGTTTTTAAGAAATATAGAGGATCCTGTTCTAATAATATATAGAAAGAGAAAATCTATAACAATAACAATAATCCAATAACCGATCAACTCTTTTTCACGATCTT